TGTTATAAGTTGAGAGAGAAAAATACTTCAGTCCTACTTGAGATACAATATGAAGCTTCATCACAGGTGTTTTTTGGGGTGGGAGGGGTTTGAGTCTATGCACAAGAAGCTCTTGATTTTCCAATTAATGATTAGAAGATATTTCCCAACAGTCAACTCAGTCAAGTTACTTATTGAATCTACTGTGTTTCCTTGCTTTTTAGAAATGATGTCAAGAGAAATTTAGGGATTTTCAGACAAAGTTGTCTCTTACCATTGCTATGTTGTACCAATAAAGGATCACATCATAAGTCTCCCCATACTTGTTAGGCTTTTTCCTCCTCCCAGCAGGGTAACATTTCCAGTTTGTAATTTCAAGGAGACAAATCTGAGGACTTACTGAAGTGATTTTTCGAACGTCTGTTTATTGACAAATAACAGAATAGCAGAGTTGGAAGGGACCTTGGAGATCTTGTAGTCCAACCTCCTGCTCAGGCAGGAGACCCTATCCCATTTCAGACAAATGGTTGTTCAATTTCTTCTTAAAAATCTCCAGTGTTGGAGCATTCACAACTTCTGAAGGCAAGTTGTTCCACTGATTGTCTTCACTGTCAGAAAGTTTCTCCTTAATTCTAAGTTGTTTCTCTCCTTGGTTAGTTTCCATCCGTTGCTTCTTGTCCTGCCTTTCAGGTGCTTTGGAGAACAGCTTGACTCCCTCTTCTTTGAGGCAGCCCCTGAGATATTGGAAGACTGCTATCATGTCTCCCCTAGTCCTTCTTTTCATTAGACTAGACATACCCAGTTCTTGCAACCGTTCTTCATATGTTTTAGCCTTCAGTCCCCTAATCATCTTTGTTGGTCTTCTCTGCACTATATACTGTATATATGGTATATATGATCACAGAAACCAGTATCCAGCAGAAATATGTCTTGTACAATCTCTCTTTTCCTCACAGTGGCATGAAAACAGCTGGGCCTTGTTAGGTGGTTTCCTAAGCTATCCACTTCCAACTTTCAACAGTCCTGTTTCTTGACACAAAGCAACATCAAGTCCAACTAGCCTATTTAGTATCACAACAAAATGCCTACCATTATTCTGATGATGATGATGATGATGATGATGATGAGGAGGAGGAGGAGGAGGAGGAGGAGGAGGAGGAGGAGGAGGAGGATATGAAGGCGCCCTCCAAATGTGTCAGAGTTCAGGATCCATGATTCACAACTTGTGGAGATGCTCTAAACAGGAAGCTGTGGAAATGATTGTCTTCTTCTAATGGGACTTCCATTGGGAAGTCACTTAAGACACATTCCATACAGAATTACCCATCTGGAAGAAGAACCAACAGACAATATCATAACCCCAACAACAGTTTGATAGGGAAGAATTTCCCAGAAAGATGGTGAATGCCCTTTTCTTGTTTCAAGCCAAGATAAGACGGTTGTCTAATCGGGATCCTGCAGAGAGTCAAGCCAATGGCCTAATGAACCTTTCCATGTCTACAATTCTACGACTATATTCCAGGTATTAGAAGCTGTAGAAAATGCAGTTCTGCCACCTATATGTATTATTTATTCCTCAGATATGTTTGCAACATTAAAAGGAAGGGAGAGAAAGAACTACATGCCTCTGGCTTTAAGGCATGCACAATCCCACGGTTGAGTTCATAGTTGTTTTTTTAATTCAAGCAAAGATTGGATGGGGAAATAATTTTGTTCCCACTCACATATGTATTATTGTCATTTGTTAATTTGTGCTATTCCCCCTCCCCCAATATATATATATGTGTGTGTGTGTGTGTGAGAGAGAGAGAGAGAGAGAGGGAGGGAGAGAGAGGGGGAAAGGAGAGAGAGGGGGGAGAGGAAGAGGGAGACAGATGTGGTACCTACCCTACTTTATAAAGCTGGAAAGCACGGGTTGTACTTAACACCCAGCCAAGTGTGACAAATTATTATTTTTTTCAAAGTAAGGAAAACATGATCTCTCCATTGTATGAAATTTGTTGTCTTGCCTGACTTCAATGTTTTTTTTTCAAAAGACTTTCTTTAACTTACTTAGAAGGACCTCAACATTCACCATTTTATAAAGGAATAATATACCTTGTATATAGACTATTGTGACTCACCAACTAGACTAACTTGATAAGAGTGGGATTATAAAGTGTCTTTAGAAGCAGCTGTTTGAAAGGAGGATTTAGAAAATCTCTCTTGTATCAAGTTTAGCATTGAGTTAGCAAATATCTGATAACAATTTAAGAGTAGTTATCAATAGAAAACCAACCAGCTTTCTTAACAATATTCCAATAACAATATCCAAATGGCTTTTTTCAAAACAGAGTTATTATTGTCTCTGCAAGCTGTGGATTGTTTGTTGGACTGAAATCCCATTCTTAATCCCAAACAAGCATCTTTAATAAAATAGTCTACCTTTACACCCAGAGTTTTAAAGAAAGAGTAAATTGTCTAGAGCAGGGCTCTATTTATTTAAAAGAAATTCTGCTTATAGTAATTTCAATATCCTGTAGCAATGAGTTAATTTTTTTCAAAAAGAAAAGTCAGTAGGTGCTTTTAAAAGGGGTAGCAAACTTACCCATCATGGGAAATAATCAGAGCTTAACAGCGTTGTTGTTTTTTTTAAATCATGCAGTCTAAATTGAGTTTGTCCTAGAAAGACAGCAGAAGAGAAATTTCTTTGTCTTTTTATTGCTGGTCCTTTAAAAACTCAACCTGGCATACTCAACTGTATTTTTTGCTGCCTCCTTTTTCCTTGCTTCTCTTGGCTGAGAAAGCAACTTGGGAAAAGCAGTTTTAAAAGTGAAAACTGACCAAAGAATTTGTTAACTGCTTTCTGTCCTCACCTGCAGCATGCATTGTATCCAACATTAAATCATAAACTAAGCATACTTGCTTCAGGCAAACAAACTATGGCTGGCTATTTTATGGTTTGTTTCAGCAAGCAGCAGTTGATAGGCCCTGAAGCTAAGCAGTATTTGCCCTGGTTGTACTTTGGAGGGGGGACTACAGAGAAATCCTAGAGTGGAAGTTTGTGTGTTATGTGGGGAACATCTTGTAATAAAGGGAAAATAATTTTTATCATGCTGGACCAGAAAATTACCCAGTCATCTTCATAAAATCACCAGGAAGATTTGAGATGTTGCAATTCAGCAGGTTGCAAGCAACCAGCCAAGTGATTACAAATCATGGTTCCATAAACCCTCCTTTTGTGCGCTGTGCAAACCCAGCACAGACTGGATCCTTGATCACATGGAGGGGGTTCACAATTCCAGATCCTCCCGCTGGTGCCCTTCAGGCCACAAGCACCCAAGATCTGTCAAGGGTCTTCTTTTGGTTAAACCTGGAGAAGGGCTGGCTGAAGGATACCTTCTCTGCAATGTACAAACAAAACAACTGGGATGGGGACTTTGGTTGCCCTATAAGAACCAGGATGCTCCAACCTGGGCAACAGCTTGGCCTCCCAGGAGATGATCCATAGACACCACCCATGAGCCCAAGGACAAGTTTCATCTTCTCCCTTAAGCAATCACCTGATTCAGCCCTGAGGGGTCCTCAGGTGCTCTCTGAGCTGGGTTGGTTTTCTTGCAGATGTTTCATTACCCCAAGGGTCTTCAAACTTGGCAGCATTAAGTTGGTGGACTTCAACTCCCAGAATTCCTGAGCTAACATGACTGGAGGAGGAATTGTGGGAGTTGAAGTCCACCAGTCTTAAAGCTGTCTAGTTTGAAGACCCCTGCTCTTGGCTATTTCACTGCTCTTCGCTTGCTTCAACTTCCTTACAGGCAAGAAAAAAATGAAAAGAGTAGTACTTCCTTGGGGTAAATCTCTCTTGTTAAAGCTGCCCATTTATTCCACTGCTCTGGAACCTTTATAATCTGTCTCAGAAGCTATGTAGGATAATCAACCCTTCATCTATCATTTCAATTGACTCCTCAAAGTGTTTGTCAGCTTCACAATTCAGACCACTCTGGATTTTTTCTCTCCACAGACAACAATTACAACACAACATAGAGCAAAAGGGTCTTCAAACTTGACAGCTTGAAGACTGGTGGACTTCAACTCCCAGAATTCCTGAGCTAACATGACTGGAGGAGGAATTGTGGGAGTTGAAGTCCACCAGTCTTAAAGCTGTCAAGTTTGAAGCCCCCCCCCCCCCCATGACCCAAACCTAGATAACATCACCTATCACTGATGATGTTACCTAGTTGGGTAATGTAAGGTCTGCAAGAAAACTCTCACACCCAGAGAGCACCTGAGGACCACACAGTTCAAACCCTGAGCTGCAAAGATTCTCTTTGCTTGATTCAGCCCTTTTCAGTGATGGTCCCAGAGAAATTCAGCTGGGACCAACCAACCAACCAACTCTGAGCCAACTTCAGGGATCGTCCCAGCGGAGGATCCCTGCGACCTTCCTCTCTTCTTCTTCTTCTTCTTCTTCTTCTTCTTCTTCTTCTTCTTCTTCCTTCTTCCTTCTTCCTTCTCCTTCCTCCTCCTCCTCCTCCCCAGGAGCTCTGCCCAGGCTTCGCGGAGCGGTTGCGCTGGCGGGATCCTTGCAGGATCCGGATCGCTAGAGCGCGGCAGGCAACGCGAGGAGGAGGAGGAGGAAGAGGAGGAAGGCATAATTAGGCGGGGCGGGGCCTTCCGGACAGATGTGCTTCGGCCCGTCCCGCGGCAGCAACACCCGTCCCCGGCCGGCCCAGCCCGCGTTCACCCACCGGCTTGCGCGCTTCGACCCGCCCCCGCGCTCTCTTCTCGCCCGGCCTCGGCCTGCTTCCCCTCCTGGCTCCGGCGGCTGGGCGGGCGCTGCTGCTGCTCCTCCATGGAGAAGGCGGGGATGCTGTGCGGACTGCGGGCGGGATGGGGGCGCAGCAGAGCCGCCGCCGGCCCGGGACGTGCGCTGTGCGAGGCTAGCAGCAGCGGCGGCGGCGGCTGCAGCAGCTCCGGCCGCGCGCCCGGCGGGGAGCCCGAGCTGGAGGCGGCGGCGGCGGGCGGCGGCGGCGGAGGAGCCGGCGAAGCTCTGGCGGGCTGGGATGAAGCCGGGGGCGGCCTCCTCTGGGGCCAGATAGCTTCCCGAGGGGGCGGTAGAGGCGACGGCGGGGGCGGCGGCTGCTGCTGCTGCTGCAGCGGGGAAGAAGCGGAGCAGGCGGCGGCCGAGGGCGACGGGGCCGGGGTCTCCGCGACCTCGGCCGCCGCCGGCGAGTGGGGCGCAGCGGCCGGGCCGAGGATGGCCGCGCCGCCGGGCTACCCTCTCTCGGACCCGGGCTCCAACAGCGAGCGCAGCGCCGACTCGCCCCTGCCCAGCGACGGAGGAGGAGGAGGAGGAGGCGGCGGAGGCTGCTCGGCCGGGCCCTCCCGCGCGGCCCCGGACAGCCCCGAGTGGGGCGAGGAGCGGTTCCGCGTGGACCGAAAGAAGCTGGAGGCCATGCTGCAAGGTGAGCCCGGCCGGAGCGGGATTCCCACCCACCCCGAGTCCCAGCCCTCGCGGGAGAGGCGAGCCCGGCGGGCGCCTCAGGGTCTCTCTCACCACGTGGCGGGGGGGCGGAAAGGGGCCGGCGCCGCTGCCCGGCAGAAGGAGGCGACCGGTGGGCCCTGCCAGACCAGGGGGTGGAAGCCGGGGGTGGCTCGGTTGGCCGGTTGGGCTCTTGGATGCAGGCGCTCCGGAGAGCCAAGAGTTCCCCTTTCCCCACCGCGGGCCAATAGGAGAAACGCTTGGACATTTGGTGTGTGTGTGTGTGTCTGTCTGTCTGTCTCTCTGTCTGTCTCTCTCTGTGTGTGTGTGTTCGGGGCTTCCCCACTTGCCCACAAGGCGGCCGAGAGAGAGAGCAAGAGGAAGCGGGCTCTCCGTGTGGTCTCCTTTCCGGACTCCTCCCCCTCTTTCCCCACCCGGGAGCTGCCCATTCCGCGAACGCAGCGCAATAGACGCTGCCGAGAAAGCGGCGTTACTCGTCGCCCCCGGCCCTTCGTCGCTCCCCTTCTGGGAAGGCCGCTTTGGGAGGATTGGGCTGCAACCGGCCGGGACGGCGGGGAGGAGAGGTGGGAGAAAGATTCCCTCGGGGCTTGGTTTCCCCCGCCCCCCACTGCCCAATTGGGCGGGGCTCGAAGGAAGAGGGGCTTTCAAGAAGGAAGGATGCTCCAAGGAGCATCCCCGGCGGAGTTCTGGCTTCCCAATGTTGGCCGTTGCTGTCAATTTGGGACAAAAAACAACAATTTTGGGGCAAATTCCGTTCTCGGCTCCCAACTTTTGCTCGAGCTTCGGAAAGCCCGTTTTCCTGCCCTGGGTAAGGCCCTCAGGCTGCAACCGGGCCCCCAAATTCGGCTCCCCTCCTCTCACACCTCCCAAAGCCGGCCGTCTGCGGAGCGAGCTAGAAAATACTCTGCGGAGTAAGCCCCGTGTGGAATACACCGGCTGCCCGTCTCCGTCGCCGCTTCTGTTTTCTTCTCTTCCCCAGTTTTCCTTCCCGTCTAAGCATTCCCAATGCATCCATCCCCCAGATGTGGATAAAGATCACTCCCCTACAGATGTTTGTCCCATCAAACTTGAGGAGGGGTAGATTCCTGGGAAGTGGGCTGGGTCTGCCTCGCGCCGTTTGTTTTATTTGTGTTGTTTCGTTTTAAACTTTAAAACTTTGAATCGTCGGCGGGGACAACAAGGTTGCGTTTCACAATCCACAAGAGTTGCGCGTTTGCCTAGGGAGATCTTCTGATGGTAAAAGTTCTGCGCGGTGGGGTTGCCAAAAAGATATCCAATGTCAGGAGGGCAAACAAAAAAAAAAAAAAACAACAACCTCAAGCTAGAATTTTGAGTCACTTAAAAGGAAAGGAAGTGTGGACTCTGCGAAGCTAATTTTATGTAAATACAAACACCAGCCTTGGATTTTTGGAAATTAAAGCTGATTTGATTTTAAGAGCAGAATCTTCTTCGAAGACCAGCCTTCCCCTCCTTCGGGGGTCACTTGGAGAGTGTGTGTCTGGCCAAATCCTATTTGGTCATCTAGACTTCAGCTGAGAAGGGTTTTGACTCCTATTTTTGGATACTGGGCGATGCTGAGACTTGTTCAGTAGAAGATAAAAACAGATATTGCAGATTTTACATTTCAGGCAAGGCAGCTGCGAAGGGCCATCAATATTGTAATGCCGTCTTTTCACATCTGAAAAAGCGATTGATAGCAAAATGCCCCAGTTTTGGAATTCAGAGTTTAAAGATAACTTTTTTAGCAGCCGATTCATCCTTACTTATCTTCCGAGGAAGGTCCACTCAGGTCTTTTGGTGTCCTCTCCATTAGGAAAGTGCCTTTTCTGTGCATGAAAATTCATAAGAGTTGGATAAATCATCCAGGATGGATAATTCCACACGAAGTGGAAGATCATTTGGATTGGGTGCACTCCACTTGATTTTTTTTAAAAAAATATGTAGGTTTCAGTGCATGATGGAAAATGGTTGAAGATTTGCTGTAAATGTGACCTTGTAACTGCTTATGATTACACTGGAATGCCTTAAATTCAGTTCTGTTTTGAATTAAATTGCTTCTGCTAGAATGCGAAGGAAATTGTTTGGATGGAATATGTACAACTGCTTTGCATAGAAATAGATGTGCAGATCAGAAATAGTTTACGTGCACTGTATAATTTTGGTATAACTTAAGTTTGTTTTTGTTTTTTTAATGAAAATCAGTTTAGATTTATAAACTGGACCAAACAAGAAACTTAACAGTTTAGGGCATTTGGGATGTAAATCAGGATCAGAATATAGTTGATGAAGCTCATGTTCTGCTTAAGACTTTGTTGGTTTACAGAACTTTCCTGCTTCATTCAACATGGGCTTTCTTAGCTTGAGGCCCTCCGGATCTATCGGTGTTCCAGGACTGGAGGCATATTTAAAGATAACTGATCCTGAAATTAAGATTCTTGATTTCATTGTGATTTCTAAAATAATTTCATCGTTATCATACACAAACCTTTTAACATATAACAAGACATGCAAAATTATTTGTATAAATAGACCTTTGGAAGCTGTATTGAGCTATTTAGACAGCTATATGTGTTAGTCTAAAAATCTGGTTTCTGTAATTGATGGGCCCTCATCTAATATACCACTCTATAAAGCTGTAGTAAGGCCACACCTAGAATACAGCATCCAATTTTGGTCACCACACTATAAAAATATAAAGATGCTAAGACTCTAGAAAGAGTGCAGAGAAGAGCAACCAGGATGATTAGGGGACTGGAGGCTAAAACATAAAGCAGGAACTGCGCTTGGCTAGTCTAGTGAAGAGAAGGACCAGGGGAGACATGATAGCAGTGTTCCAATATTTGAGGGGATGCCATAGAGAGGAGGGAAGGGGTCAAGCTGTTCTCCAAAGCACCTGAAGGCCAGACAAGGAATAATGGATGGGAACTGAACAAGGAGAGATTTAACCTGGAAGTAAGGAGAAATTTGTTTTGCAAAATCCTTACTTACACCCCATTCCAGAACACCCACCATTCCCTCACTAACCTGCTTTCCAGCTCAGTTCTCCTCCATGCAAAGTTTCCAAACTTTTCTGACAGTGAGAACAATCAACCAATGGAACAGCTTTTCCCCTCGGAAGTTGTGGGAGCTTCATCACTTGAGACATTCAAGAAGAGACTGAATTGCCATTTGTCAGAAATGGTGTAGGGTCTCCTGCTTGGGGGGGGGGGGGTTGGACTAGAGCAGGGGTCCCCAACCGCCGGTCCGCGGACCGGTACCGGGCCGCGGAACAAGTCTTACCGGGCCGCTGGTTGCTGGGCGCCGCCATCTTTTTTTGGTAAAAAAGTGCTTCCGGTGAGCTTTTCCGGGTAGAAAGCTCACCGGAAGCACTTTTTCGTCAAAAAAAGATGGCGGCGCCCAGTTGATGCCGGTACCGGGCCGCGGCGCCCAGCTGATGCCGGTACCGGGCCGCGGCATAAAAAAGGTTGGGGATCACTGGACTAGAGGACCTAGAAGGCCCCTTCCAACTCTGTTAATCCTTTCAAATCTTTCACAATACTCCTTGTCTCCAACTGCTGCTTTTCAACAATTCTATTGGAATTCACCCACTCAACAATCAATAAACAAACAAATAAACAAATAACCAACCAATCAACCAACTGGACTGGACTGCCATCTGTAAGAAATGGTGTAGGGTCTCCTGCTTTGGGGGGGTTGGACTGGATGACCTACAAGGTCCCTTCCAACTCTGCTAATCTGTAATCTGTAAACCCATCTGCATTGCTTAGCTGAGGAATATTTTGCCGCCTTTGTCAATGTATATGGCTGGAAAGCAGATCCATACTGAATATTTATTGTCCAGTAGAAGATAATAAAAAAAAAATAAAAAATGGTTTCCTGTTAATAGACATACATCCTACATCCTTGATATTTTATTCCAGGTATCTCCAAACTTGGCAACTTTTAAGACTTGTAAACTTCAACACCCAGAATTCCCCTGCCTGAAAACAGAAGGGAATGGCTGGCTGGGGAATTCTGGACGTTGAAATCCACAAGTCTTAAAAGTTGCCAAGTTTGGAGGTCCCTATTTTATTCCAGTAGTCTCAGCATAGCCTTGATAGTGGATAGTGGATCCTGGTGGATTCTGGGTAACAAGAAAGCATTTGGTATGACTGGACCCAACGTTTGGAATGTGTTTCCATTTAGAATCAATCTCCTGGGGGGCAGGTTAATCTTTAAGCAGTTAATATTTTGCTGTGCTGATACAAGGCTTTTGGCATGCAGCTGAGCAAAAAGTTCACATCCCTTACACATTTTAAATCTGGAGATACCTTCCAGTCCTGAAAGGCTGCAGTTGGTTCTTGAATGTTTGTATATGTGCGACCTGTTGCTTAATAAAGGGGGAAGGGAAGTGAGAGACGGTTCGAAGCTCATCAAAAATTTAAATTTGTTCAAGTTGCATCCCAGAGTTCTGCATAAGCATAGGCCACTTTGATTGGATTTGGATTTCCTCTACTTTGTTTTAAAAAACCTCTTTCAAACAGATAACAGATCATCAGAGTTGGAAGGGACCTTGTAGGTCATCTAGTCCAACCCCCCACCCAAGCAGGAAACCCGACCCCATTTCTAACACATGGCAGCCCAATCTCTTCTTGAAAGTCTCAAGTGATGACACTCCCACAACTTCCAAAGGCAACTTCTGTTCCATTGGTTGATTATTCTCTGTATCTATATACAGAGCTGGATCTCTCAACAAGAGAGAGAGAGGAAGAGAGAGAGAGATACAGATACAGATTGGAAGAGACTTTGTAGGTCATCTAGTCCAACCCCCATCCAAGCAGGAGACCCTGCATCATTTTTGACAAATGGCAGTCCAATCTCTTCTTGAAAGCCTCCAGTGATGAGGCTCCCACAATGTCCGAAGGCAACTTCTGTTCCGTGGGTTGATTGTTCTCAGTCAGAAAGTTTCTCCTTATTTCCATG